TATTCACTATACAGCTTTTGCATGCATATGAAGTTACTGAAAATACCATGGCTTGGGTCCAGTGCACCTTAGTCCTCAAGCTGACAGCTTTTCTCTTCAACACTTTTAAAGAGGTAGCCAATGTCTAAGTTCCACCACTCGTGTGTCAGTTTGTCGTACTGCGGTGGCTTGTGAGTTGATGTGATTATGAAAGCTATGCCACCAGTATTTTAAATACCAGCAGGGTCAACCATGGTGGACAGGTTTCAGGTGAACTTCCAGACAAAGACAAACTAGGAAGGAGTGACGAACTACTTCCGAATATTAAGTCACTGAAAACCTTAGGAATAGCAGAGAAACACTGTCAGATACAGTTCCAGAAAATGAGCCCCTCAGGATGGAAGGCACTCAAAATGCAACTGGGGAAGAGCTGCCTCCTCAAAGTAGAGATGACCATGATGACGCAAATGGAGTAAAGCCCATGGGAGAAAAGCCCTCGGGACCTTCATTTGCTGATGGGAAATGAAGAGAAACAGCTGTGAACATACATTGAAAATCGAACATGGAATATACGAAGTATGAATCTAGGAAAATTTGGAAGTTGTTAAAAATGAAATGGAATGCAAAACATCAATATCTTAAGGATTAGTGAACTGAAATTGACTGGTATTGGCCATTGTGAATCTGATGACCACATGGTTTACCATGCCAGAAACAACAAATTGAAGAGGAATGGTGTTACATTCATTGTCAAAAAGAACATATCCAGATCAGTAATGAGGTACAACGCTGTCTGTAATAGGATAATATACATGTGCCTGCAGGGAAGCCCAAGGAGCTCTTTTAGTGTAGTGGTTATGAGTCGGGCTGCCAACCTCAAGGTCAGCAGTTCAAAACTACCAGCTGTTCCACAAGACAAAGATGAGGCTTTCTGTTCCTGTAAAGATTTACAGCCTCGGAAACCCTGTACAGGGTGCTATGAGTCGGAACTGACTCCACAGCACATAACAACAAGAAACTACAACAGGGAAGCCCAGTTAATACCACTATTATTCAAATTTACACACCAATCACTAAAGCCAGTGAGGATGAAATAGAAGAATTCTACCAACTTCTTCAATCTGAAATTGACCAAACATGCAATCAAGATAGACTGATCATTACTGGTGATTGGAATGCAAAGGTTGGGAGCAAAGAGGAAGGATCAGTAGTTGGAAAATATGGCCTTGGTTATAGAAATGATGCTGGAGAACGCATGATAGAATTCTGCAAAACCAATTATTTGTTTATTTCAAATACCTTCTTTAGACAGAATAAGTGACAATTATACACATGGACCTCACCAGGTGGAATGCATAGAAATCAAATTGACTACATCTGTGGAAAAAGACAATGGAAAAGCACCATATCATCAGTCAAAACAAGGACAGGTGCAGACTGTGGAACAGACCATCAATTACTCACATGCAAATTCAAACTGAAGTTGAAGAAAATGAAAACAGGTCCACGAGAGCCAAAATATGACCTTGAATATATCCCACCTGAATTTAGAGATCATCTGAAGAACAGATTTGATACATGAAACACTATAGAGTGAAGACCAGAAGACTTGTGGGATGACATCAAGAACATCAAACATTTATTTTGACATTAGTTACCTAAAAAAAAAAAGGGGGGGGGGGGACGACACTATAAAGGCATGAAGTGACTGGCTTACAAGTTTTCAAGAGGGAGTTTAGTTTCAGAGTATATGGGGGAAGGTAGAATCCCCACTGAATAGTTTTCATCTCGTCTAGATGCTGCCACTTGGCCAGTAATTGTTACCACGACTAATTGAGACTCTCACAACTGTAAAGTAAAAGTTTTGTAACAAAAAGGGAAGCAGTAGTTAATCATACAGTCCAGGAACAGAGGACTCTAGGACCATCAAGGGAGAAGAGCATGAGCAGAATGTAGGACCCTATCCAGAGAATTAGTGACACCAGAGATGATGACTTGGAGAGACAGAACAGCTGAGGACTCTACTCTTGGAAAGAGAAAGGCTGTGTGCTGGCAGCCAGGAAGCAAGCTTGCAGAATGTGTCCTTTGGTTGTTTAAATGATTATATATTCCTGAGTGTTTTTATGTACATCCAAATAAAAAAATTTTTTTAAAGGAGAATAGAAACAAATACTGCTAAATGATAATGCACAAATACTGCAATGAAATGATGAGTATAAAACCGATGTTCTCCCAGGTAAATTATTACTCAATTCACAATAAAAACTTTAAAAAGAAACACTTATACGCATCAAAGAATTGCTACCAGTTGAGTAAAAAGACAACCCCAGAATGGGAGAAATATTTGTAAAGTATCTATCTGATAAAAGGTTTATAAGCCAGGATATGTATAAAACTCTTACAAATGAAACAACAAAGACAAGTAACTCAGTTTTAAAATAAGCCAGTATGTAGCAGTTCAAACCCACCAGCTGCTCCTCAGAAACCCTATATAAGGTTCGCTATGAGTCAGAACTGACTCAATGGCACTTAACAATAACAATAATATAATAATCAGTCCCACAGAGAATGGAAGAAAAATATGGAGAACTCAAATTCTTTAAAAAAAAATCAAACTGGAATAGTAGAGGACAGAATTCCTCTTGAGACCAGTGCCCCAGACCCTCTTTAACCTAGAACTGAACCTCTCTCCTGAGACCAGTTTAAGTGAAGCAGCAGATGGCACACAAAATAGAGAACAGTACCTGTAAGACCGGTGCCCTTCTCAACAACCATCAACATGAGGGACAAAGGTCAACAACATCTGAACTGCAAGGGGGCAGGCAGGCCGCAGGAAAACTAGAGCACCGCTCTGAGGACAGCACAATGAAGGAGACAGCTGACCACTATGTCCAATGGAACCAATGTCAATGACTTGGTGGAGAAATTGCCAAATGCTAATCTAGCATACTGCATAGATTTTCACTAAAAAACTCAATAAAATATTATTTTATAAAAGCGCCAAACCCATTCATTGACAGAGTTGATTCCAACTCATAGCAACTCTGCAGATCAAATTAGCACTACTCAGTGTTTCCAAGTCTAATTCTTTATGGAAGCAGGCCGCGACATCCTTCTCCCATGGAGCGCTTAGTGGGTTCCAACAGCCAACCTTCTAGTTAGCAGCTAAGTGCATATCCACGACACCACCATGGCTCCTATTAAAAACAGGCTTTGAGTACACTTTGAAAAAAAAGTGTGTGATTTTTCGAATATAAAACTGATGATATGCTCTGTACCCCTTCATTCAATTTATAGTAAAAAGGGGAAGAAAAGGGGACAAAGGACTTGAATAGGCCTTTTCCCAAAGACACACAAATGGACAATAAGCACATGAAAAGATGAATGACATCAAATAATCATTAGGAAAATGCCAGTCAAAACCACAATGAGCTACTACTTCACAACCACTGACATAGCCAGAATTTATTTTTTTAATTTTTAAAAAGGAAAACAACAAATGTTGGCAAGCATGTGGGAATGTACAATGCTGTAGGCACTGTGGTATGCAAATTTGGTGGTTCCTCGAAAAACTAAACTTAGAAACTATCCAGTGTCCTAGCAATCCACTCCGAGGTATATACCCAAAAGAACGGCTAGCTGGGCCTCAAACAGGTACTTGCATTGGCATGTTCAGAGCAGCATTACTCACAACAGCCAAAAGGTGGAAACAACCCAAATGTCCATCAACTGGTGAATGGACGAACAAAACGTCACGGAATCCTGGTGTGGCACTGTTAGAAAAACACTGAACTGTTAACCACAGGATCAGCGGCTCTAACTAGTCCCTCCTTGGAAACCCTATACAAGATTGCTGAGTTGGAACCAACTCAATGGCACTCAACAACAAGAAGTAAAGGAACAGTATTTTACCATTAAAAGAAATGAAGTCCTGGTAAGCATTACAACATGGATGAACCCTGGAACATGCTAGATGAAATAAACCAGACACAGAAGAACAAATACTGTAAGATTTCCCACCTAGATAAAATATCTAGAATAGGATAAATTCACAGACATAGCAGGTTAAGTGTTTACTAAGGACTGAAGGCAGGAGGGAGTGGGGAGCTATCATTTAATGGGTATAGGGTTTTTGTTTGGGGTGATAAAAAGATTTTGGAAATAGTGGTAATGGTTATATGACAAATACTGTGACTGAAATTAATGCTATTTAATTATACATGAAAACATCAACATAGCAAATTTTAAGCTATCCATTGATCAAAATAAAAAAACTCATAGAAAATAAGCAAGCTGGTGTACCTTGGGTCATGGGGAAGGCTGTGTATATTAGGGAGGCTGGCAAAACAATGATGAAGACAGGTGAAGACACAGAGGAACGCAAAGTTGAAAGGCAATTAGAAGGTCCCAGATGGAGACAATGTGGAACAAAACTCTCAGAAAGAGACTGCAGAAACCTAAGACTACGGCCCTCAGCCACCTTTCAGGTCTGGAATGGAACGTACTTCATGGCCCAATTTTCAACCAATTGGTGAATATGTACATGGGGGGACAGCAACACTACTGAGGTGTGCTCACCATGGATGAGATTACCCATTCAAGATCAAACAGGCAAGATTTACCTGAAGACCAGGTTCAGAGGGCTGGGAAAGAGGGTGCAACGGAAATAAGCACAGGGAGGAAGGGGGATAACTGTTGGTACATGAAGAGTTTGCAGTCACTGAAATGAAACAAAGTGTGTGATTTGCTGGATGTGATTTGTTGGACTTATACATGAAAACATATTGGTAATGTTTTCATGTATATAACACTGATGATCTGTTCTGTAAACCTTCACTCAATTCACAATAAAGTTTCTAAATAAATTATATGATAAACAACTTTCAATCTTCTTAATCAAAAGAAATAAATGGAAATCTAAAATCACTGGTTATATCAGATAAAGAGATTTTCAATTTCTGAATTCACAGGAACTTTCATTACGTTAAAAAGGAAGACTATATATTAGGTGAATGTCATACCATAAGGCTTTTCTTCCGTTATTTTCCCTGTAGAATCTAGTGTATCAGTAGCTTTTCCCAGCTCTCCAATGGCAATATACCTCTAAAGAAAACCGAGAAAGAAAAATTGGCCATAAAGTAAACAAAACAGTTGAACAATGAAGTTTATATAAAATTTTGCTAGTACAACCAACATGATACAAAATGAAGGCAAAAATAAGAGATGGCAATTATATGTTTTGATATGCAGGAAGTATCTGTGCAAGCTTAGAAACATTAAGAAGCTACCCACACAAGCCAACATGAAAGAAATACCAGATTTTATTGAAAAAAGACAGCTTATAACCACTTATCTTAAACAAGTCTTTGAAAACCAATTTTATACAAGGCAGTTTTGCTTTTTAATAAAAATTCTCAAATAGACTCGAGTAGAGAGAACAATACAAGTCGTTCTGTTAGCGTAGTGGTTACGAATCAGGCTGTTAACCTTCAGGGTCAGCAGTTCGAAACTATCAGCTGTTCCGTGGGAGAAAGAGCCGGCTTTGTGCTCTCGTAAAGATTTCCAGCCTCGGAAACCCTGTACAGGGTCGCTATGAGTCAGAATCGACTCCACGGCACATAACAACAACAACAACAGAGAGAACAATACAGTAAACCCAGACTCAAGTTTGACCATACATGATTAAAATACAAAACTAAATCAACATACAATTCCTTACATGAAATAACACAAATGTTAGTAAGCACTAAATCATGCACACAAGCAAAATTTAATATGTAAAAACTGAGCAAGCTAATCCAGCAAAATACAAAACTACTAAGAGGGAGCATACTTAACTAGTATATGTGTTCCCTTAATAAAGAGAAATGGACACTTCTTAAACTCTCTTCAAGGAAAAAAGTCAATTCTAAGAACTGATCATCACTCACACATGAAACATTTCACTCTTAGCTACTGGTCGTAACCAACTCGAGAGCACTCAACAACAACTCAACTGAGGAGTGGCTTACTTATCTCAACTTATAATACTTATTTTTTTCATTACACACTTTTGGTCAAATTCAGATTTATTTGGTGTTATCACATGAAGCAGGAAGGAGTACTGGTGGCTCAATGGTTAAGTCTAGACTCCAAACCGAAAGATCAACAGTTCAAATCCACCACCTGCTCTGCAAGAGAAAGTTGTGGCAGTCTGCTTCCGAAAACATTACAGCCTAGGAAACCCCATGGGGATATTCATAGGATTGCTAGGTCAGAAAAGACTTGACGGCAATGGCTTGTCACACAAAGAAGTGAGAGAAAAAAAACAGGTTCTACTGAAAATAATCTGTACTGATGGTTAGTTCAAAGAACTTTGCAAAATAATAATGATAAACCCATTATGCTAGTGAAGCGAACAATGGCAAAAATGAAAAAAAAAGAAAACTCCAATCCCTACAAACGTGCAGACATCTGTGGTGCTGGGGGAGATAAAAGCATTGGATCACAAAGTCGGTCTGAACCACAAGGTTAATGGTTCAAACTCACCAGCCGTTCCTTGGAAACCCTACACAGGGTTGCTGAGTGAGAACCAAATCAACGGCACTTAACAACGAGTGCCTTTTAATAAAATCACCCTCAAATTGTATTGTTGTTGTTAAGTGCCGTCGAGTCGGATCCGACCCATAGCAACCCTATACAGGGTTTCCGAGGAGCGACTGGTAAGCCTGAACTGCCGACCTTGCAGTTCAGATGGCTGTGCAGCCTGGCGCCACACCAGGAATGCAGACTTATTATTATTGAGTTTTACAGTATGTGGCGGTGGTGGTGGTCATGTGCCGTGGAGTCAGAACCAACTCGTAGCGACCCTGTACAGGGTTTCTGAGGCTATAAATCTTTAAGGGAGCAGAAAACCCCCGTAAAGATCATCTTTCTACCACGGAACTGTTAACCTTAAGGTTCGCAGCCCGATTCATAACACTTTTACAACACAAAGGGAAAAAATGTGCATTTGAAATTCAGTTAATATTGACAATACTTAGTTTGTGGTAACTAAACATCGTATGAGACACTTGCTTTACTCCTGTCTTTCGAGGCAATCACCTCAATTACACAGTAAGTAAGAGAAGTCTAGCAGAACAGGTGGGAAGGGCACAGATCGAGCTGCAAACTGGTTGGGTTTGAATCCTGCCTCCACCAGAGCTGAAAAAAGAGGTTAAGTTGGTCTCTCCTAAAAGAGCTTCATTTTTTTTTTATCTTAAAATGGGGATAACAGTACCTCAGGAAAAGCAGCGTAGAGTTTAGAACACTGTTCATTAAAAGAAAACAGACTGCCTCATAGGAACAGTGACTCATCTGGTTACTCTTGAGCTCCCAGAAGGAGCAATAATGTGACAAAATGTCTTCTTTTTGCCTTCAAAAAGAAGACATTCATAGTTGCATAAGAAAAACACAATGCAATCCTGTATATTGTGTCTTGAAATGTTCAAACCAACCAAGAGGTGCCTCACCCCAGGAGACCTCTCACTCTGCTTCTGAGAGGTCAGTCATGAACATCCTATGGAGACATTCGACTCTGCACACAGGGGGCCCTCAGGAGTCAGAATCCAATGGACCATAACCAAGGGGGCAGTTGTTGTTAAGTGCCATGGAGTCGGTTCCAACTCATAGCAACACTGTATAGATAGGGTTACTGAGGAGTCAACTGATAAGCTTGAACTACTGACCTTGTAGTTCAAATGGACCTTGCAGTCTAGCGCGTTAACCCACAGCACCACACCAGGTGCTACCCAACTGTTCCCAGAAACCTTAACAAGCCCATTTGCAAATAATGTTCACTCAAGTCTTAAGATTTCTTCCAGTGGTAAAAACAAAATCTATAACCAATATTTATGAACACTTTGAAAGTACTTTTGATAAAAATTTAATCTTCAACACACTTAAAGGTAAAATCTTAAATGGTTTAATTCTTTCAGAGTGAAAGCATGAGAAATACAAATAGCTAATAAGACAGTAACAGCTATTGCTGCGATGTGCCGCACCCAGAACTAGGTTTCTGTAACAAGATGCACCTGGGATTTCCAAACTCTGTTTGCGTCATCTGAGGATCAGCGATTTCACAGTATGACACTCAGTTTCCCTAGCTGAATACCAAAATGGTGACAAATAAAACTGAAACCAAAGTCAATGATAGCTTTACATTTTCAGTCATCAAACTTCTGGAAATAAAACTTTCAAATAACAGATAATGTGTGTGTGTAGTTTTCAGGGGGAAAAATACAGAAATACTATTCCAATGAACTCAACATTTTTATCTTGGTGGTAAACACTAATATTACATAATGCAAATATATGTATTTTTGTTATTATCATAAAGTAATTTATTCACTGAAAAGATTCTGGAAAATAGCTAATAATATGAAAAAAAATTAAAACCATCATAATTCTATAGCAAAGCTACCATTTTCTATTTTGGAGTTTAGAATCAAATATTAAGCAACTGCTTAATAAAACTGCTGGAAAAAAGAATCTAAACGCTGTATATTTAAACACAATGTACAGATTTACTACATAATACTCTAATTTTTTTCATTCTAATAAAACTTTCATTCTGTTGTTTTATCACCATCTTATTGATTGCGGAGTGAACCATGTTTCACGTATCTAAGGCAATTAATCGTTTCTAAGTAAACAGCACAATACTTTATACCAACGGGTGACTAAAATGGAGATGTTACATGCATTTTCACGCCAGTGTTTTTCATTCTTAAGTTAACTTGGATCACTGCCACTCAGAGTGTGGTCCCCAGGCTAGAACCAGTACAGGGCAAGATCTTTCTTTTTAAAAAAGGGGATATTTTTCTAGCAATTTGACATTGCATTAACAAATTCATTATATTTCACAAAAGTCATCAACCTGGCTGGAATGAATTGGATATTTTCTATAATAGGTTTTTCACCAGATTGTTTTAGAAGAAAATTTTAGATAAAATTTGATTATTCTGCCAACTATTTATATTCCACTTAGAACAATGGTTTAAAAATCTTTTTTTTTTTTTTTTTTTATTTAATCCAGGAACTTGATGAAATTCTTCTCTATCTGTGGGCCTCAATCTTCCTTCCACAGGCATTTTCACGGCTCCTGACCTCAGCTTTTACAACCAGCACCTACCTGTGGTAGAGATGTAGGATAAATACTTGACTGCTATCCAAAAGGTTGGTAGTTCAAACCCACCGGCACTCCTTCGTTATTGTTGTTAAGTGCCACTGGGCTGGTTCCAACTCAGAGACCCTGTATAGAGTTTTCAAGGAGCAGGTGGTGAGTTTGAACTACTGACCTTGCAACAACAGAAACAATGATCAGAAATTACAGTGCAGTGGGTTCTGTAAAATAAGCACTGGACTGCAAACAAGGTTGGAGGTTCGAGGCCCCTAGTCACTTGATAGGTGGAGAAGTAAGAGATGATGAGCCCTTCTGCACCCACAAAGCTGTACAGCCTTGAAAACCCTATAAGGGTTGCTATAATTCAGAACCAACCCGCTGGCAGACAACCACCACCACTAATGAGAATACAGATAGTTTTCTGTCTTTTGGAACTTGAAAGATCTGAGTAGTGATGCAGTAGTTCTCATAAGGACGAACTGAGAGGCCCACAGAGGTTGAGCCCTGTGCCATCTTGACTTCTGTTTCAGTGCTGAGGAGAACTAACTCACTGATACCAGCACCATCTCAGGTCTAATGTTTCTCCTGCCTCCGTATAGCTTTTTCTTTCTCCCTTATTAAAGGCCTTTAAAAAGGGATTTTTAAAATTTATTCATGATTATTGTCTGAGATTAAAAAATATATACATACAGCTTACCATTTTAAAAAGTTCCACTTTGTAATAAGCCATTTTAACTATTCACCCGAGGGCAGTAGAATTCTCACTTTCCATGTAGAAAATAAAAGTTTGATCCCAGGTCAATGCCCCTCAAGGGCAGCCACCACTATCCTGTCAGTGGAGACTTGTGTGATACTGAACACATGTCAGAGGAGTTTCCAGACAAAGACTAGGAAGAAAGGTCTGGCAACCTAGTGCCAAAAAAAACTATGGGGCCAACTTGACAGCTGCTAACAACAACCATTCAACAAATCACGTTTATAAAATGGTACCGTTGCTACAAAATTAAAAAAAAAAAATTGCCAAGAGAGTTAACGATCTTTAAGTTCCCTCTCAGATAATTATATGGAAAAAATATGTAATACTTTTTAAAACATTAACACTGTAGAATTTTTGTTTCTAGGACTCAAACTTATTTTTCAATGAAGAATTTTTAATTTATAGTCTTAATACGAGGGGGCTTCAAAAAAGTTCATGAAAAAATAGAATGAAGAGATAATGGAATTTTTCCATGACCTTTGAAAGCCCCCTTGTATTTTTTAATCTCAAATATCAGAATTAGAGATGCTGTGATTAATACTCAGGAATAATGGTACTTGTTCATGCAAGTGAAAGTTTATTTCGTAACTGACTTAAAACCCAATATACAGGCCATGAAGGAAAACATTTTCCAAAATTAGGAAAAACATTAAATGTTTTATAAGTCCGGACATTCTAGTACTCTTACCTTGGTCCCTGACAGCATATTGGTCAACATTTTTGTTCCCCTTCCAACTCCAACCACTACAAGTCAGAGAAAGAAATATTTATGATACTATTACATAACCTGTGTTTTAAAAATATCTGCATTTTTAAAAACCATAATTTCCTGGCATATACAACATTTAGTTGGAAAGAGCATATTTTTAACATAATTTGAAGACTCCTATTGCTCCAATCGATTGAACTTATCATGCAACTGAGAATTCTGGAGAGAGAGGGTAAAGGAGAGGACATATTTTCATCCATTCTCAATATGCTAAACATGGTAGAAATCTCAACTCAGCCAATTAGACAATGAAAACTTTTTGGACAATCTCAGGAAACTCACTGGAATTTTATAACAGCATCAGTGAAAAAAAAAACAGCACAATTAACCAGTTTGAGTGTCTGACATGAAAAAGGTTTTTGACAGAGTTCATTATTAAACAAAGCAAAAGCTATCATCACAGCTAGTGAACCATTTAAAGGTGATTAGTGCCCAGCAGCAAACCATCAAGAAAACATAACAAATCAACCTAATACAAAGAATAAGCAGGAAAAAAGTGGAAATGTGGAGAAATATGCTGAGCTACACCAAGTCTAAAGTACAATGGCCCACTTGTCTCTTCAAGTTCTAAGATTAGTTAGCCTTCATCACCACATTGTTTTCCATCTGCTCTGTGGAAAACAATCACTCAACAGCAAGCAAATTTGTGTAAAAACTGGAAGTATTTACCATCAATGGGCACAATTGTGTATAAGAAAAAATTAATAAACTATAACTACTCAAAGTTCAGAATCACAAGAAGAAACAGAGGAAATGGCAAAATGATTGGCGATGAAGGAATTACCATCAATATTTATAATCATTACCATTCTGAAAGTTTATCACATTATCAGTGAATTTAATAGAGCTAAATTTAAAAGTGTTTATTTACTCTCAAGTAATTCTTACCAACCTGAGTTAATAAAATCTACAGTTTTACAAAAAAAGATTATTATTTCTCACTTTCTTCACTAGTCATATCCTTTTCAAAACCTTGCTCACATATAAATACAGCTACTTCTTGTAGGTTCGTTTATCTTGAACCATTGAAGTTTCTATATGTGCGAAGTTTGTGAAAAAATACCAATGTCTTTTAATTCTATTTTCCCAAAATCTTTCTGAAACCACCTTTTAATGGTAACATAGATCAAGCAGTATGAAATAGTCCCAGTAGACTGCAAATGCAGCTCTGGTAGTGCAGTGGTTATGAGTCAGGCTGCTAACCTCAAGGTCAACAGTTTGAAACTACCAGTTGTTCCATGGGAAAGATGAGGCTTCCTGCTCTCGTAAAGATTTACAGCCTCGGAAATCCTATACAGGGTTGCTATGAGTCAGAACCGACGCCATGGCACACAGCCACCATCCCCAGACTGCAAACGGCACCGCTCTAGCCAGCCTATCTGGTTCAGTATCTTTCTGATATTAGTGGCTGTTACAGAAAACTTCTGGTCATCTCTCTTACCCAGAACTCCTTTGGCCGCACTGTCTAGAGTTCCGCCATGCCCAATTTTGAAAGTCTGCTTTTTCCTCTTGTTGCATTTTGGAAGAGGCATCCCAGCTTCTGAGAGTAATTAGAAGGAAAAACGCAATTACCAACACAAATTAATAGGAGCTCCAGAAATATAAAAGGGGATGGGGTAGATAATTCAAAACATATTCTACTAACTAGACACAGTAAGCTTATACCATTAACAAAGAAATGGTATTCCCAAAACAGTTGTCTAAGAAACTAGAAAGAAGTATTCTTTAAAACTGGGCAAATTCACTTGCACAAAATAGCAGCAGCCCAGTCCTGCAGCAATCTCAAGTCTGGGCACTAAAGAGAACCATGCTGGTGCTCACTGCCATCCAATAATTCCAACTCACGGCAACTCCTCCAGCAGACAGCTCCACACTTCACCCTAGCAGCTCATCAGACCTGTATTTCCAGGAGTCTCTGGATGGGTTCAAACACTAAACCTTTTTGGCTGCCTGTCAAGTGTTTGTTAGCCCCAGCCAAGAAAATCCTGTGTAGTAGAGTTCGCCTCTGAAGCACATTCGGTTGCCATGAGTCAGAAGCAACTGGATGGGCAATGGGCTTGGTTTTTATCAAGGTTAATTATCACGTTTGGCATTTTTTTTATAAGTCGACAGCTTGCCATAGGACAGTGTCAGAAGTTCGTTGCTGTACTGATTTAACGGAAGGCAGTACAGGACCAAACTTGTGAGAGCCCTGATTGAATGCCTAGCTAAATGGTTCTTTCACCAAAGGGTGCAGAAATAACTATGCTAGGAGCTCAGTTCACACACTGTATCATTCACCTTCATGCCATTATAGGATAGTTTATTGGGGATGTTTACTAAACCTGTGGTTGCTTGAGGTCACTGCCTGAAATGAAATGATCTGTTAGGTGGATGAACTATCTGTCCCTTCAAATTTTTCTACTTTTTTGCCAGTATACATGAAGAAACAAAAGAAGGCTCTTGGTATTCCTCAAATTGGGAGTCCACAGACTTACGCAAAACCATCTAGGGTTACTGTTTAAAAATGTAATTTCCTAAAAAGATTTCAGATCTCCACAACCAGAATCTCTGGGAGGTAGGGATTCACAATCTTCATTTTTACAAGAGACCCCCATCCCCCAACTAGTTATGCCCACGAAAATGTGAACAACACGGTATTAAGTCATGGCTAAATAAATAATCCTCTTAATTTTCAACATTTTTGTTTTTAATGCATCTTTGGGGGTACTGACTCAATACTTCCTCTCTATGGGGTTCTTTCACATGCACCAAACAAAAGGCTCCTGAGAGATCAGATAATAGAAAACTGGTCTGCACGTAGAAGTTTGTGGAGTTGTGTTTTGGGTTTGTTTTTTGTTTTGTTTTGTTTTGGTGTGTGTGTATGTGGTTTGTTTTTGTTTTTTTTCTTTTCTTTCCTTCCCCCGTGAGAGTGACAACTGCAAACTACAGGCCTTCACATCAGACCAAGTTCGAGCCCGAAATGCCCTATATTTCAGTCCAAAGTTAATTCAGGGGTCGTCTCCCTTTCCCCTTCCTTTAAGCTTTGAGCCACGAGCGTCGCCATAAGCCCGTGTGCTCTCTGAGGCCTTCCCTGGGCAGCGAAGCCTCGGCCTGGCCCCCACCCAGGCTTCAGTACCTGCCAGCAGCTTCTCCTTCAGCCGATTCAGCAGCTCGGCTGAAGTGGGCCCTTTGGGCTTGTGAACGGCGAACACGCCGTTCAGGGACAGCAGCTTATTAGCCATAGCGGACTTGGCGTCCCCGCCTTCCGATCCCGCCGCGGCCTCGGTGGCAGCCGTCGCGGCTGCAGTCTTAGTCACCGCAGAAGCGGCAGCAGTCGCGGTGGCAGCCTTCGCCGCAGGGGCAGGGGTCCCGATAGAAGCCTTCGCCGCAGGGGCCGGAAGGGCGATCGAAGTCTTCGCCGCAGAAGCCGCGGTCTCGGTCGTTGTCTTCGCCGCAGAAGCCGCGGTCTCGGTCGCAGCCTCCGCCGAAGGGGCCAAAGTCGCAGTCTCAGGCTCTGCCTCCGCCGAAGCGGCCGCAATTTCGGCCTTAGCCTCGGCCGTCGCGGCTTCAGTCTCAACGGTAGCTTCAGCCGTCGCGGCTGCAGCCGTCGCGGTCGCTGTTTCAGTCGCAGCCGAAGCTGTAGCTGCCGCTGCTTCGGCCGTCGCGGCTGCAGCCGTCGCTGGAGAGATCGCAGCCGTTGCTGCGGCTGTTCCTGAGTTTTCAAGGACTGGAGTTGTATCTGTTTCCAAAGACAAAGACGACGACGCCATAGCTGTCTCGGCAGCCGCCATACTTTCGTGGCCTAGTCCTCTGTTTAATTTTTGAGGCACACGCTGATGACGCAACAAAGAGAGCGCCTAACATTCCCCCACACACCGTCGTTTCCCATAAATCGAAGCTGTCTGACGGACGGGGTCGCAGAGGCTTGTGGGAGTTGTAGTCCATGGATTTACATAACTGGCTAAGCGTTACGGGACTCTGGTAACTCATTTGCTTCTTACTGGGTTTGGTTCCTCAGAAGAAATTTGGAGTCACATCTTAAACTGCCAACCAGAACACCAATATACAAGTCTGTATATTTTTAGGAGCGTGAAGGGGGAATCTCCTCACACTCCCCTACTCCAAACTGATGTTGTTGCTGTTAAGTACCTTGGAGTCGGTTCCGACTCATAGTGACCCTGCACAGAGTTTCTGAGGCTGTAAATCTGTACGGGAGCAGAAAGCCTCATCTCCCGGGGAACCGCTGGTAGTTTCGAACTGCTGACCTTGAGGTTGGCAGCCCGTCTCATAACCATTGCACTACCAGAGCTGTCCAAAAGGATAGGGCCCAGCATACAAGCATAGAAAATTGAAAACACTAATTTTTGCAGCTGCTTGTAAAGAATAACTGCTTTATTCAATGTATCGTGCTTCTAGATTCAAAATTCAGAATTAAAATGCACCTATCACATAGTCTAATATATCTCGTTAAGTGCCGTAGAGTGGTTCTGACTTGGGGACACTGGATACAGTTTCGGAAGCTGTAAATCTTGGAGAGAGCAGAAAGCTTCATCTTTCTCCCACGGACCAGCTGGGGACCTGAACACTTGACCTTCTGGCTCGAAGTCCTGTGTTTATCCTACAGAGCCACTGGGCTCTATTGTTTGCTTGCAGGTAAGTGCCCTCCAGGGGGCTCCAACTCATAGCGACCTTAAGACAACAGAATGAAACACTTCCAAACCTTGTGCCATCTTCACAATTGTTACACTTGAATTTATTGCTGCTACCACTTGGTCAATTCATTCCCTTGGAGGGAGGAGTTTCCTCTTTTTTTTTAACTGACCCTACACTTCACCAAGCATAATGTTGTTTACCAGGGACTTGTCTGAAGTATGAGAGACAAAGGCTTCCTCCCCTGGCTTCTAAGGAGCATTCTGGCTGTACTACTTCTACCACAGATTTGTTTGTTCTTCTGGTAGTTCATGGTACTTCCAATAGTTTTCTCCAGCACCGTAATTAAAATGCATCTATTCTTCTACAGTTGGTCTTTTTCATTGTCCAACTCTCATATACATATGAGGCTATTGAAAATATCATGGTTGGGGTCAGACTCACTTTAGTCCTCAGACTGATATCTTTGCTCTTGAACACTTTAAAGGTCTTTGCATCAGATTTCCCCAATGCAGTATGTTGTTTAATTTCTTGACTCTTACTTTCATGAGTGTTGATTGTGGATCCAAACAAAAGGAAGTCTTTGACAACTTAAACTTTACTCTGTTTATCATGATGTCATATATTGGTACAGTGGTAAGGATTTTTGTTTTTTCTACATTGAGGAGCAATCGATAATGAAGATTGTAGTTTTTGATCTTCATCAGTAAGTATTTTTAAGACCTCTTTGATTTCAACAAGCAAGGTTATGTCGTCGGCATATCGCAGGTTGTTAATAAGTTTTCCTCCAATCCTGATGCCATGTTCTCCTTTATACAATCCCCACATTCTATGGGAAGTTGCTGTTACCTGCTGTCTAGTCACTTAAGATTCACAGTAATCCTGTATAGGGTTTCTGAGGAGCCACTGACCTTGCAGTTAGCAGTCCAGTGCTTATCCTGTAACCACACCAGGACTTCCTATTGGGAGTAAGTAAATTAATTAAAAGCCTTAAAATTATTAAGAATAATATGTGGGTGGAGCAGGGGTGTACCAGAGGCATCAAAATAAGCCCCAGTGATTTGCCATTGGAATGACTATGGATGGTGTCCTGGTGTGGTGCTGTGGGTGAATGTGCTGGACTCGCAAAGTCAGTTTGAACAGCAAGGTCTGTGGTTCAAGCTCACCATCCAACATCAGAAACCCTATACAGGGTCATTATGGGTTGGAACCGACTTGACAGCACTTAACAACAACAATTATGGATGGTCAGTGAAAAAAATGAAGACCCCCCCCCCCAACAAGATGAATTGGTACAGTGGCAGCAATAATGGATTTAAACATGACAACTAAGATGGTGCAGGACTTGGCAGCCTTTCCTTCTGTGGTTCATAAGGTCACCATGAGTAGGCATGAACTCAATCGCACCTAACAACAGCAGCAACAGGACCTAAGATTTTATTTTGGGAATTTGAAGAACTTGTATTCATATTGCTTATTACCGATTTGAAGAATTTGTGCTTATTTGCATATCCCTAAGTAAATGAATACAAATTCTTCAAATCCCCAAATAAACTGTTAGGTCATCTTGTTGTTGTTAGGTACCATCCAGTGGTTCAGATTCATAGTGATCCTGTGAACAGCAGAAGGAAACACTGCCAAGTCCTCCACCGTCTTCACAATTGTTATGTTTGAATCCCTTATTGCTGTCACTCTGTCAATCCATCTTGTTCGAGGACTTCCTTGTTTTCATTAACTCCATGGTCACATCAATGGTAAACCACTTGCGCCTACTGTGATGTCCCTCATGTGCCCTAGCCTGCACCCCTATTGTGGTGGTGGTTATGTGCCATGGAGTCAGTTCTAACTCATAACCACCCTGCACAGGGTTTCCAGGGTCATACATCTTCGCTGGAGCAGAATGCCTCATCGTTCTCCCACGTAACAGCTGGTAGTTTCAAACTGCTGATCTTGAGGTTATCAGCCTGACTCATAACCAACTATGCTACGAGAGCGCCTTACCAGAGCACCCCTATTGTGGTGGTGGTGGTTGTTATGTGCTGTGGAGTCGGTTCTGACTCATAGCGACCCTGCCCAGGATTTCTGAGGCTATAAAACTTTACAGGAGCAGAAAGCCTCATCTTTCTCCCATAGAACAGCTGATAGTTTCAAACTGCTGACCCTGAGGTCAGCAACCCGATTAGGAGCTCTGGTAGCGTAGTGGTTACGAATCGGGCTGCGAACCTTAAGATCAGTGGTTCGAAACTACCAGCTGCTCCACGGGAGAAAGATGAGGCTTTCTACTCCCGTAAAGATTTACACCCTCGGAAACCCTGTACAGGGTCGCTATGGGTCGGAACCGACTCGATGGCACTTAACAACAACAACAACACTACCAAAGCTCCTTCACTCCTATTGTAGTTCTTAATAACTATAAGGTTTTTAATTCTTTTATGGATTGCTTGTTGTTGTTGTTGTTAGGTGCCGTCCTGACGTTATAGCAGCCTTACTCACAATAGAACGAAACACTGCTAGGGCCTGCAACATCCTCACAATCTTTGTGATGCTTTGAGCTCATTGTGGCTGCCATTGTGCCAGTCCATCTCATTAGAGGTCTTCTGCTTTTTGTTCAAAAATCTGTTATTTCAATATTACATTAACATCTGGGAAGAGTGTAATCCTGGTGTGGCGCTGTAGGATAAGTACTGGACTTCTCTTCTATTCACAAGGTCAGCAGATCAAACCTACCAGCCACTCCTCGGAAACCCTGTGCAAGGTAGCTGTGAGTCAAAACAGTCTTGACCGCACTTAGCAGCAACAAATAGTCTAATAATCACTCCTCCAGGGATGTTTGCAGAGCCCTGGTGTGGCACTGCAGGGTAATGCACTGGACTGCAAGGTTGGATTGAACTGCAAGGTCAGAAGTGACTCATTTGCATTTTTGCATAGGAATCCAAGAGACAATGGTCCAGATTAAAAACATGGACACACTATGAGACTCACCAAATCACATAATGCCTGAGCTACACTTTCTTGACATTTTGTTCCATTAAGTTATACCAATACTTTTTTATGATGTTGTCAAACTATGTTCATCCAAATAAATTAATGTTCCTATCACAGCTGACTCATTGGACAGTAACAGCTAGCTCACCTGCTAATGAATTGGCCAGCTCCCATGACCTGTCTATGAAAACCTACATAGTGCATTTATTTTCACATTCATAAGTAAAAAGAAGCAGTAGACTCTGCCTCCCCTGTTTCTGTTTCGCTGTTTCATCCTGGGACATCAGGACAAAGCAAATATAAAAACGTTAAAGGGCAAGGAGCTGGAAAAGAGGGCACATGCCGCAGAAGGCTCTGGGATGATAGTTATAGTTTCTGATATATGTAATAAGAGTCCTGGTGTGGTGCTATAGGATAAGCACCACAAAGTCAGTTTGAACTGTAAAGTCAGTGGTTCAAACTTACCAGCTCTCTTTGAAATCCTATACAGGGTCACTCTGAGTCAGAACCAACTTGATAGTGCTTAACAACAACAATAATAACAATCCTGACATTCGTTTGGTTTTTAGGTCCAAAACAGATCTCTGTAATTACTCCAGAAATCTCACAGCATTCATTCAAAGAGCATAATTGATTCCCTACAACCCTTTCAGTGTTATCAAGGGGCATTCACGGCATTTAATAAATTCTCGGATGAAACATATATACACTGATAAATATTGAATTTCTGTTATGCTTCATTAATAATATAAATACAGAATTTAATGTACTTTAAATATATGTGATTATGTAAGTTAAAAAATACAATCAACAGACTACTCTAAAATTGATCAAATTTTGTCTTTAATGTTGCCTAAATAACACAGTAGATCCGTTTGCTTTTTTTGTGATTTGGCATTCATTGTTACAATAAGTATTTATTTTTCGCTTGCTGTATGCTAGGCATCTAAAATAACTTTCATATTGAACACTGCTGTAATATAGTCATTTATAAACAGCTTGGAGAAAGTGTTGTATCAATTTTTAAGTAGACTCTTAGGATTTCTAATATTTAAAGTCGTCTGTACTTACTTTCCAAAGATAATGTACAAATTGTCTCTGTTGATTAATCTACACTATCATATAATCCAAAATCAAACCCACTGTGGCTGAGTCG